ACCTCCCAGCTCCCACTCTCCCCTCCCAGCTCCCACTCTCCCCTCCCAGCTCCAACTCTCCCCTCCCAGCTCCCACTCTCATCTCCCAGCTCTCCCTCTCACCTCCCAGCTCTCACTCTCACCTCCCAGCTCCCACTCTCCCCTCCCAGCTCCCACTCTCATCTCCCAGCTCTCCCTCTCACCTCCCAGCTCTCACTCTCATCTCCCAGCTAACACTCTTACCTTCCAGCTCCCACTCTCTTCTCCCAGCTCCCATTCTCATCTCCCAGCTCCCACTCTCACCTCCCAGCTCCCACTCTCTTCTCCCAGCTCCCACTCTCATCTCCTAGCTCCCACTCTCCCCTCCCAGCTCTCACTCTCCCCTCCCGGCTCCCACTCTCACCTCCCAGCTCTCACTCTCACCTCCTAGCTCCCACTCTCTTCTCATAGCTCCCACTCTCATCTCCCAGCTCCTCTCCCCTCCTAGCATTCACTCTCCCCTCCCAGCTCCCACTCTCCCCTCCCAGCTCCCACTCTCACCTCCCAGCTCCCACTCTCCCCTCCCAGCTCTCACTCTCACCTCCCAGCTCCCACTCTCCCCTCCCAGCTCTCACCCTCACCTCCCAGCTCCCACTCTCACCTCCCAGCTCCCACTCTCCCCACTAGTCTTGGCTGCCTAGCTAGTAACTGAGAGCCTCACAGTACAGCTGGCTCCGTCACAGTCTTGGCTGCCTTCCACACTAGCTAGTAACTGAGAGCCTCACAGTACAGCTGGCTCCGTCACAGTCTTGGCTGCCTTCCACACTAGCTAGTAACTGAGAGCCTCACAGTACAGCTGGCTCCGTCACAGTCTCGGCTGCCTTCCACCCTAGCTAGTAACTGAGAGCCTCACACTACAGCTGGCTCTGTTACAGTCTTGGCTGCCTTCCACACTAGCTAGTAACTGAGAGCCTCACAGTACAGCTGGCTCCGTCACAGTCTTGGCTGCCTTCCATACTAGCTAGTAACTGGGAGCCTCACAGTACAGCTGGCTCCGTCACAGTTTTGGCTGCCTTCCATACTAGCTAGTAACTGGGAGCCTCACAGTACAGCTGGCTCCGTCACAGTCTTGGCTGCCTTCCACACTAGCTAGTAACTGAGAGCCTCACAGTACAGCTGGCTCCGTCACAGTCTCGGCTGCCTTCCACCCTAGCTAGTAACTGAGAGCCTCACAGTACAGCTGGCTCTGTTACAGTCTTGGCTTCCTTCCACACTAGCTAGTAACTGAGAGCCTCACACTACAGCTGGCTCCGTCACAGTCTTGGCTTCCTTCCACACTAGCTAGTAACTGAGAGCCTCACACTACAGCTGGCTCCGTCACAGTCTTGGCTGCCCGCCACCACCAATCCGGCCTCCGGCTGTGTTTCCCTCTAACACCCAACATTACCTCGCCCTCAGGAAATTTTAACCCTCGACTCATCAACTTTCATGTTTTTCTCAGCTCTACAATTTTATTTTTTATATTTAACATTTGTTTCCTGTTACTGATTATCCAGCCCGTCCTCTTGATTTATTCACAACGGACAAAATAAGGGGTACTATGAAGGTACTACCCAAGCCCTTCATCTAACTTTGCCAACAGAAGCATAGAAAACGTGGTTAGCGGTGGGCCGCTTCTCTTCATCATTAACATTATAGTGTATGTTGGAGCGACAAGGTACAAAATGAGTGGCATTAGTTGAGAGTACGGGCTGTATGGTACAGTGTGTGCGGTGTAACAGTACGGGGTGTATGGTACAGTGAGTGTGGTGTAACAGTACGGGGTGTATGGTACAGTGAGTGTGGTGTAACAGTACAGGCTGTATGGTACAGTGTGTGTGGTGTAACAGTACAGGGTGTATGGTACAGTGAGTGTGGTGTAACAGTATAGGCTGCATGGTACAGTGTGTGTGGTGTAACAGTACAGGCTGTATGGTACAGTGAGTGTGGTGTAACAGTACGGGCTGTATGGTACAGTGAGTGTGGTGTAACAGTACAGGCTGTATGGTACAGTGAGTGTGGTGTAACAGTACGGGGTGTATGGTACAGTGAGTGTGGTGTAACAGTACAGGCTGTATGGTACAGTGTGTGTGGTGTAACAGTACAGGGTGTATGGAACAGTGAGTGTGGTGTAACAGTACGGGGTGTATGGTACAGTGAGTGTGGTGTAACAGTACAGGGTGTATGGTACAGTGAGTGTGGTGTAACAGTACAGGGTGTATGGTACAGTGTGTGTGGTGTAAAAGTACGGGCTGTATGGTACAGTGAGTGTGGTGTAACAGTACAGGGTGTATGGTACAGTGAGTGTGGTGTAACAGTATAGGCTGTATGGTACAGTGTGTGTGGTGTAACAGTACAGGCTGTATGGTACAGTGAGTGTGGTGTAACAGTACGGGGTGTATGGTACAGTGTGTGTGGTGTAACAGTACAGGCTGTATGGTACAGTGAGTGTGGTGTAACAGTACGAGGTGTATGGTACAGTGAGTGTGGTGTAACAGTACAGGGTGTATGGTACAGTGTGTGTGGTGTAACAGTACAGGGTGTATGGTACAGTGTGTGTGGTGTAACAGTACGGGCTGTATGGTACAGTGAGTGTGGTGTAATAGTACGGGGTGTATGATACAGTGAGTGTGGTGTAACAGTACGGGGTGTATGGTACAGTGAGTGTGGTGTAACAGTACAGGGTGTATGGTACAGTGTGTGTGGTCTAACAGTCCGGGTGTATGGTACAGTGAGTGTGGTGTAACAGTACAGGCTGTATGGTACAGTGAGTGTGGTCTAACAGTACGGGGTGTATGGTACAGTGAGTGTGGTGTAACAGTACGGGCTTTATGGTACAGTGTGTGTGGTGTAACAGTACGGGGTGTATGGTACAGTGAGTGTGGTGTAACAGTACGGGCTGTATGGTACAGTGTGTGTGGTGTAACAGTACGGGGTGTATGGTACAGTGAGTGTGGTGTAACAGTACAGGGTGTATGGTACAGTGTGTGTGGTGTAACAGTACAGGGTGTATGGTACAGTGTGTGTGGTGTAACAGTACGAGGTGTATGGTACAGTGAGTGTGGTGTAACAGTACGGGGTGTATGGTACAGTGAGTGTGGTGTAACAGTACGGGCTGTATGGTACAGTGTGTGTGGTGTAACAGTACGGGGTGTATGGTACAGTGAGTGTGGTGTAACAGTACGGGGTGTATGGTACAGTGTGTGTGGTGTAACAGTACGGGCTGTATGGTACAGTGTGTGTGGTGTAACAGTACAGGGTGTATGGTACAGTGAGTGTGGTGTAACAGTACGGGCTGTATGGTACAGTGTGTGTGGTGTAACAGTACGGGGTGTATGGTACAGTGAGTGTGGTGTAACAGTACGGGCTGTATGGTACAGTGAGTGTGGTGTAACTGTACGGGGTGTATGGTACAGTGTGTGTGGTGTAACAGTACAGGGTGTATGGTACAGTGTGTGTGGTGTAACAGTACGGGGTGTATGGTACAGTGAGTGTGGTGTAACAGTACGAGGTGTATGGTACAGTGAGTGTGGTGTAACAGTACGAGGTGTATGGTACAGTGTGTGTGGTGTAACAGTACGGGGTGTATGGTACAGTGTGTGTGGTGTAACAGTACAGGGTGTATGGTACAGTGTGTGTGGTGTAACAGTACGGGGTGTATGGTACAGTGTGTGTGGTGTAACAGTACGGGGTGTATGGTACAGTGTGTGTGGTGTAACAGTACGGGGTGTATGGTACAGTGTGTGTGGTGTAACAGTACAGGGTGTATGGTACAGTGTGTGTGGTGTAACAGTACGGGGTGTATGGTACAGTGTGTGTGGTGTAACAGTACGGGCTTTATGGTACAGTGAGTGTGGTGTAACAGTACGGGCTGTTTGGTACAGTGCGTGTGGTGTAACAGTACGGGGTGTATGGTACAGTGTGTGTGGTGTAACAGTACGGGGTGTATGGTACAGTGTGTGTGGTGTAACAGTACAGGCTGTATGGTACAGTGAGTGTGGTGTAACAGTACGAGGTGTATGGTACAGTGAGTGTGGTGTAACAGTACAGGGTGTATGGTACAGTGTGTGTGGTGTAACAGTACAGGGTGTATGGTACAGTGTGTGTGGTGTAACAGTACGGGGTGTATGGTACAGTGAGTGTGGTGTAACAGTACGAGGTGTATGGTACAGTGAGTGTGGTGTAACAGTACGAGGTGTATGGTACAGTGTGTGTGGTGTAACAGTACGGGGTGTATGGTACAGTGTGTGTGGTGTAACAGTACAGGGTGTATGGTACAGTGTGTGTGGTGTAACAGTACGGGGTGTATGGTACAGTGTGTGTGGTGTAACAGTACGGGCTTTATGGTACAGTGAGTGTGGTGTAACAGTACGGGCTGTTTGGTACAGTGCGTGTGGTGTAACAGTACGGGGTGTATGGTACAGTGTGTGTGGTGTAACAGTACGGGGTGTATGGTACAGTGAGTGTGGTGTAACAGTACGGGCTGTATGGTACAGTGTGTGTGGTGTAACAGTACGGGCTGTATGGTACAGTGTGTGGTGTAACAGTACGGGGTGTATGGTACAGTGAGTGTGGTGAAACAGTACGGGGTGTATGGTACAGTGTGTGTGGTGTAACAGTACGGGCTGTATGGTACAGTGTGTGTGGTGTAACAGTACGGGGTGTATGGTACAGTGAGTGTGGTGTAACAGTACGGGCTGTATGGTACAGTGTGTGTGGTGTAACAGTACGGGGTGTATGGTACAGTGAGTGTGGTGTAACAGTACGGGCTGTATGGTACAGTGTGTGTGGTGTAACAGTACAGGCTGTATGGTACAGTGAGTGTGGTGTAACAGTACAGGCTGTATGGTACAGTGGGTGTGGTGTAACAGTACAGGCTGTATGGTACAGTGAGTGTGGTGTAACAGTACGGGCTGTAAGGTACAGTGAGTGTGGTGTAACAGTACGGGCTGTAAGGTACAGTGAGTGTGGTGTAACAGAGATGGTCTCCTTCCTCTTCACAGATACGGAAGAGAACTTCACGGTGTCCTGGACGGCCACTGTTGGAGCCTCCTCCAGCAGATGGCGGAGGAGCTGGCAGCCGAGGTGCAGGAGGTGAGGACCCTGGCTCCTGCTGGCCTCTGTTGACCCTCTGTGTTGACCCTCTGTGTTGACCCTCTGTGTTGACCCTCTGTGTTGACCCTCTGTGTTGACCCCTTGTGTTGACCCCCCTGTGTTGACCCCCCTGTGTTGAGGCCCCCTGTGTTGACCCCCTGTGTTGACCCCCCTGTGTTCACACCCCCTGTGTTGACCCCCTGTGTTGACCCCTTGTGTTGACCCCATGTGTTGCCCCCCTGTGTTGAGCCCCCCTGTGTTGACCCCCCCTGTGTTGACCCCCCCTGTGTTCACACCCCATGTGTTGACCCCTTGTGTTGACCCCTTGTGTTGACCCCCTGTGTTGACCCCCTGTGTTGACCTCTTGTGTTGACCCCTTGTGTTGACCCCCTGTGTTGACCCCTTGTGTTGACCCCCCTGTGGTAACCCCCTGTGTTGACCCCCTGTGTTGACCCCCCCTGTGTTGACCCCTTGTGTTGACCCCTTGCGTTGACCCCCTGTGTTGACCCCCTGTGTTGACCCCCCTGTGTTGATTCCCTGTGTTGACCCCCTGTGTTGACCCCCTGTGTTGATCCCCTGTGTTGACCCCTTGTGTTGACCCCCTGTGTTGACCCCCCTTGTGTTGACACCCGCTGTGTTCACACACCCTGTGTTGACCCCCTGTGTTGACCCCTTGTGTTGACCCCTTGTGTTGACCCCCTGTGTTGACCCCCTGTGTTGACCCCCTGTGTTGACCCCTTGTGTTGACCCCCCCCCCCCCCCCCCCCCCCCCCCCGTGTTGACCCCCCCCTGTGTTGACTCCTTGTGTTGACCCCCTGTGTTGACCCCCTGTGTTGACCCCCTGTGTTGACCCCCTGTGTTGACCCCTTGTGTTGACCCCCTGTGGTAACCCCCTGTGTTGACCCCCTGTGTTGACCCCCTGTGTTGACCCCTTGTGTTGACCCCCCTGTGTTGACCCCCTGTGTTGACCCCCTGTGTTGACCCCCTGTGTTGACCCCTTGTGTTGACCCCCTGTGTTGACCCCCTGTGTTGACCCCCTGTGTTGACCCCCCTGTGTTGACCCCCTGTGTTGATCCCCTGTGTTGACCCCCTGTGTTGACCCCCTGTGCTGACCCCCTGTGTTGACCCCCTGTGTTGTCCCCCCTGTGTTGACCCCCTGTGTTGACCCCCCCCCCTGTGTTGACCCCCCCCCCCCCTGTGTTGACCCCCCCTGTGTTGACCCCCCCCCCCTGTGTTGACACCCCCTGTGTTGACCCCCTGTGTTGACCCCTTGTGTTGACCCCTCTGTGTTGATCCCCTGTGTTGACCCCCTGTGTTGACCCCCTGTGTTGACCCCCTGTGTTGACACCCCCTGTGTTGACCCCCTGTGTTGACCCCCTGTGTTGACCCCCTTGTGTTGACACCCCCTGTGTTGACCCCCTGTGTTGACCCCTTGTGTTGACCCCCTGTGTTGATCCCCTGTGTTGACCCCCTGTGTTGACCCCCTGTGTTGACACCCCCTGTGTTGACCCCCTGTGTTGTCCCGCTGTGTTGACCCCCTGTGTTGACCCCCTGTGTTGACCCCCCCTGTGTTGACCCCCCCTGTGTTGATCCTCCCTGTGTTGACCCCCCTGTGTTGACCCCCTGTGTTGACCCCCCCTGTGTTGACCCCCTTTGTTGACCCCCTGTGTTGACCCCCTGTGTTGACCCCCCTGTGTTGACCCCCTTGTGTTGACACCCCCTGTGTTGACCCCCTGTGTTGACCCCTTGTGTTGACCCCTCTGTGTTGATCCCCTGTGTTGACCCCCTGTGTTGACCCCCTGTGTTGACACCCCCTGTGTTGACCCCCTGTGTTGACCCCCTGTGTTGACCCCCCTGTGTTGACCCCCTTGTGTTGACACCCCCTGTGTTGAACCCCTGTGTTGACCCCCTGTGTTGACCCCCTGTGTTGACCCCCTGTGTTGACACCCCCTGTGTTGACCCCCTGTGTTGTCCCGCTGTGTTGACCCCCTGTGTTGACCCCCTGTGTTGACCCCCCTGTGTAGACCCCCCCTGTGTTGATCCTCCCTGTGTTGACCCCCCTGTGTTGACCCCCTGTGTTGACCCCCCCCTATGTTGACCCCCTGTGTTGACCCCCTGTGTTGACCCCCTGTGTTGACCCCCTATGTTGACCCCCTGTGTTGACTCCCCTGTGTTGACCCCCCCTGTGTTGACCCCCCTGTGTTGACCCCCCTGTGTTGACCCCCCTGTGTTGACCCCCTGTGTTGACCCCCCCTGTGTTGACCCCCTGTGTTGACCCCCTGTGTTGACTCCCTGTGTTGACCCCCCTGTGTTGACCCCCTGTGTTGACCAGCCTGTGTTGACCCCCTGTGTTGACCCCCCTGTGTTGACCCCCTGTTTTGACCCCCTTGTGTTGACCCCCCCTGTGTTTACCCCCTGTGTTGACCCCCTGTGATGACCCCCTGTGTTGACCCCCCTGTGTTGACCCCCCTGTGTTGACCCCCCCTGTGTTGACCCCCTGTGTTGACCCCCCTGTGTTGACCCCCCTGTGTTGACACCCTGCGTTGACCCCCTGTGTTGACCCCCTGTGTTGACACCCCCTGTGTTGACCCCCTGTGTTGACCCCCCTGTGTTGACCCCCTGTGTTGACCCCCTGTGTTGACCCCCCACTGTGTTGACCCCCTGTGTTGACCCCCCCTGTGTTGACCCCCTGTGTTGACACCCCTGTGTTGACCCCCTGTGTTGACCCCCCCCCCCTGTGTTGACCCACTGTGTTGACCCCCTGTGTTGACCTCCCCTGTGTTGACCCCCTGTGTTGACACCCCCTGTGTTGACCCCCTGTGTTGACCCCCCCTGTGTTGACCCCCCCTGTGTTGACCCCCCTTGTATTGACCCCCTGTGTTGACCCCCCCTGTGTTGACCCCCTGTGTTGACACCCCCTGTGTTGACCCCCTGTGTTGACCCCTCCTTTGTTGACCCCCCTGTGTTGACCCCCCCTGTGTTGACCCCTGTGTTGACCCCCTTTGTTGACCCCTTGTGTTGACCCCCTGTGTTGACCCCCTGTGTTGACCCCCCCTGTGTTGACCCCCTGTGTTGACCCCCCTGTGTTGACCTCTTCTGTGTTGACCCCCTGTGTTGACACCCCCTGTGTTGACCCCCACCTGTGTTGACCCCCCTGTGTTGACCCCCTTTGTATTGACCCCCTGTGTTGACCCCCCCTGTGTTGACCCCCTGTGTTGACACCTCTGTGTTGACCCCCTGTGTTGACCCCTCCTGTGTTGACCCCCCTGTGTTGACCCCCCCTGTGTTGACCCCCTGTGTTGACCCCCTGTGTTGACCCCCTGTGTTGACGCCCTGTGTTGACCCCCTGTGTTGACCCCCTGTGTTGACCCCTGTGTTGACCCCTGTGTTGACCTCCTGTGTTGACCCCTGTGTTGACCCCTGTGTTGACCCCCTGTGTTGACCCCCTGTGTTGACCCTTGTGTTGACCCCTGTGTTGACCTCCTGTGTTGACCCCTGTGTTGACCTCCTGTGTTGACCCCCTGTGTTGACCCCCTGTGTTGACCCCCTGTGTTGACCTCCTGTGTTGACCCCCTGTGTTGACCCCTGTGTTGACCTCCTGTGTTGACCCCCTGTCACTTCCTCTCACCTGTCATGTGTCACACGTCCCTGTCACTTCCTCTCACCTGTCATGTGTCACACGCCCCTGTCACTTCCTCTCACCTGTCATGTGTCACACGTCCCTGTCACTTCCTCTCACCTGTCATGTGTCACACGTCCCTGTCACTTCCTCTCACCTGGCATGTGTCACACGTCCCTGTCTCTTCCTCTCACCTGGCATGTGTCACACGCCCCTGTCTCTTCCTCTCACCTGGCATGTGTCACACGTCCCTGTCACTTCCTCTCACCTGGCATGTGTCACACGTCCCCGTTACTAATAAATGTCAAATTATTAAGCACTGTAAATCCCGGGCACTGAGCTGAGTAGAAGACATCACCTCACCACTGTGTATGGGAGCGGCGGCTGGGTTCCCTCAGCACATTTGGGGCGGGAGTGTTGCGTCCTCCACCTGGGTGCTGCACACTCTCCTGGCTGTCGTCGCCAACACCTGCTCTGACTCGGGTGCTGCACACTCTCCTGACTGTCGTCGCCAACACCTGCTCTGACTCGGGTGCTGCACACTCTCCTGGCTGTCGTCGCCAACACCTGCTCTGACTCGGGTGCTGCACACTCTCCTGGCTGTCGTCGCCAACACCTGCTCTGACTCGGGTGCTGCACACTCTCCTGGCTGTCGTCGCCAACACCTGCTCTGACTCGGGTGCTGCACACTCTCCTGGCTGTCGTCGCCAACACCTGCTCTGACTCGGGTGCTGCACACTCTCCTGACTGTCGTCGCCAACACCTGCTCTGACTCGGGTGCTGCACACTCTCCTGGCTGTCGTCGCCAACACCTGCTCTGACTCGGGTGCTGCACACTCTCCTGGCTGTCGTCGCCAACACCTGCTCTGACTCTACATGTGGGCTACAAATGCAGGTGTCCTCTTGTAGGTACACCTCGACCCCGTCCTCCCGTAGGACAGACCAGGTGTGGGGCCCGCAGGTATGCCTTCCCCAGCCTGGCCCCAACCCTCCCAACGCTGCTACAGGTGTACCACGCTGCACGATCCCTTCTTACTCTTTCCTTCTAACCACTTGGGCTGGACGGTAGAGCGACGGTCTCGCTTCATGCAGATCGGCGTTCAATCCCCGACCGTCCAAGTGGTTGGGCACCATTCCAGCCCCCCGTCCCAACCCAAATTCTTATCCTGACCCCTTCCAATTCCTATATAGTCTAATGGCTTGGCGCTTTCTCTTGATAATTCCCTTTCTTTCCCTTCTTACTCTTCCACTGATTTGTCTCTTTTCTCAAGCAGTTCACGGGCCGTTATTACAACCATTATAGGCAATGTCCCGTGGGAACAGTCGACAGACACTGGAACACCGCCGTCTCCGACCCGGCCCAACACGCCAGTGGGCACCGTAACAATGTAGAGTCATAACAATGTCACACACATGATCTGGATCCCTCCCTTGCTCTTAACTAATTCAATGGTTAGTTTTAACTTGTGTATTAGTACCTCACTCCTAACCCTTCCAACATTACTTCTTGCTGCGTTAATACAAATACTAAGTTTTACCCCTCCCCTCCCCCCCCCACCGTTACCAGCCGTAATAGTTTCTATATTGCTAATGATATCCCCGATGTCCGCTCCTGGATAGCAAACCTTCGATCTAATTTCCCCATCTTTACCGCGAAAGGTCGTGTCCAAGTACCTCACATTCAATCACCATTTCTTTATTTACTTTATTATCCTTGACTCTGGCACTTGTTGACTGCTACTACCTCCTCGCAACACTCGGCCTCCAGTGCAGTGGAGGCCGAGCCCATCCTAACACCAGGGACGACTGACTTTACCATCATCTGTACACTGGTGCGGTGTGTGTCCACTTGCCAGTGTCTTGGTGGGGTGTGTCGGCGTCGTGGTGTCATGGCATGTTAACCGCCAGGCGGATGGAAAGTACTGCAGTTGGATGTACTTTGTACAAGTCATGCAGTCCAAAAATTGTAATATATGTTGCTGCTTCCAGATGAGATCCATTGTGTCTGCACTCTGGTAATTCTACTGCTACAGTGTTATTTTCATCATCACGCAGAAATGTTTCTTAAGCCATAAGTATTTTTTTTATGTATTTACTTTATTATTTCCAAAGTCCATTACCAATTTAGAGCTCATAAAATGACTGTAGCCTGTCCACAGTCACAGCTCACACCGAGAGGGTGTGAATTACACTATACACACTTTAATTTGTTTACATTAAAGAACATTTGCTTTCGGTTCTTGAGCCCATACTCTGGCCAAAGTTGCTCTCCGCCACAGCCCACAAGATGGGAATTTAGTTCATAATGAACAAAATTTAACTAAACCAGGGTTAATATTCAGAGTAAGTTTAAAATTTGTTGATCATTGGTGAAAGTCTCAGTGGCATCACCTAAATATGTATTTAGGCTGGATATAGGGTAACTTGATTATGTCTATCTCATGTTGCAGAGAGCCAGCAGCAATGTGGACACCGTTAGAGAATTTTTACAATTGGAAGAATATTACAGCCGATTGTTACCAGTGAAAAACAATGCTAAGGCTTTGCTGGAAAACCTTTATTCTGTAATCTTAGGTAAGTAAATTTACTTTAGTTTGGAAATGTGAAGGTTATTGCCGCTTTACCCTCGTTATTAGTTAATTTTTAAGAGTATAAGATAATACATCGTTTTAGTGGTGGAGATAAATGTGACAAACGCTGTTGGGCCTGACAGAATCTCACCATGGATACTAAAATAAGGTGCAGACGCACTGTTCAAATTCAAATAAGTTTATTGAGAAGAAGCACTAAGTGTACAACTCTCTATGATATATAACAGGTCACTGGAAACAGAAAACCTACTGGAAAGCTGGAAGACAGCTAATGAAGTCCCAATATTCAAAAAGGGTAACAGACAAGAGGCACTGAACTACAGGTCAGTTTATCTAATTTGTATATCATGCAAGGTGGTAAAGATCGCGAAGAAAAGGCTCGTAAAATATCTGGAGAAAAGGAGATTTGTAACACCACGAGCATGGGTTTAGAGATGGTAAATCGTGCCTCACAGACTTAATAGAATTCAATGACCAGGCGACAAAAATTAGGCAAGAAAAAGAAGGGTGGGCAGACTGCATGTGAGGGGGAGGGAGACATCAAAGTGACGAGATGTCACCAGCGGAGTCCCACAGGGCTCAGTACTTGGACCCATCCTTTTTCTGATATATGTAAACGAGTTTCCAGAGAGGATAGACTCATTCTTCTCAATGTTTGCTGATGATGCAAAAATTATGAGAAGAATTAAGACAGATGAAGACAGACAGAGACTACTAGATGATCTGGACGAACTAGAGGAATGGTCTAGAAAATGGCTAATAAAGTTTAACTCGGGAAAGTGTTAAGTAGTAAAATTAGACGAAGGGAGTAGGAGACGGAACACAAGGTATCATCTGGGGGGTGAAATCCTGCAATAGTTAAATAGAGAGAAAGATCTGGGGGTTGGTATCGCACCGAACCTGTTCCCAGAAGCCCATATCAAAATGATATCATCAGCGGCATATGCTGGTTTGGCCAACATAAGAACCACCTTTAGAAACTTGTGTAAGAAATTATTCAGAACCACTTGATATACCACTTATATCAGACCAATCCTGGAGTATGCAGCTCCAGCCTGGAGTCCATATCTAGTTAAATAAAAGATTCAGAGGTATGTCACCAGACTAGTGCCAGAACTGAGAGGTATGTGATACGAGGAAAGGCTATGGGAGCTAAAGCTCACGTACCTAACAGACAGAAGAGTAAGGGGAGACTTGATCACCACCTGTAAAAATTCTCAGGGAATTGACTGGGCGGAGAAAGATAAACTCTTTAGCACGTTTGGAACACGAACAAGGGGACACAGATGGAAACTTAGTACCCAAATGTGCCACAGAGACATTAGAAAGAATATTTCAGTGTCAGAGTAGTTAACAAATGGAATGCATTAGGCAGCGATGATGTTGTGTAGGCATACTCCATACACTGGTTCAAAAGTAGATTTGATAAAGTTCAATAGTTCAAGAATGTGTACACCAGTTGATTGGCAGATGAGAAGTGGGACCAGAGAGCCAAAGCTCAACCCCCGCCAGCATAACTTGGTGAGTACAACCTGGTGAGAAGTTATTACTTGGGTTGGCCCTACGGCCACTCTTATATTTGTCTAACCAATGCTTCAAACAAACTAGCGACCCAACTTCAAAATCGAGTCGCTGGTTTTTCCATGAACCGAAACTTATCCAGTTACTCATTACGTCATGTTCTATTTTCTTTTAATGTATACAGAACCGTGCTAGATATCGCCTTGATATACCCTTTTCTATGCGATGAAAGTAAATCTTGTTTTAATCTCTTATTATAAGAAAGCTTTTTAATAACATTGTTAAATTTGTCGTCCTTCTCTGCACTTTCTCTAGGAAATAAATATCCACTCTATTGTAGGTGCCCAAAACTGAGTTGCGTTAGTCAGTGGAACCTAACAAGGGTAAGATAATAGTTGAGAATAGCTTTAACAGTCTTATTTCAAACGCTTCTTCCTATGGGGTGTAGTATCCTCTTTGCCTTTAATGGAACATTTATTCATTGGTATCTTTTTGGCTTAAGTTTCTTTTGTGATGGAAATGTTAGCTTAAAGTAATATAAATTGTTCATTCTGCCCAAGAAGCAGTTGAATAATAACTGCTTCTACCTCCTGTCCAGAACTTGAGAAAAAATGAAATAAACATATAAATAATTTAACAATTGATTAAAAACAGTTAAAGATTTATCAAGGAAACTTTTGAAGTCATGCCAGCTAAAGTGCCAGTACTTTAAAGTGTGAGTGTACCTCCAGTGTACTGAGTGTACCTCAGTGTGTACTGAGTGTACCTCTAGTGTACTGAGTGTACCTCCAGTGTACTGAGTGTACCTCCAGTGTGTACTGAGTGTACCTCTAGTGTACTGAGTGTACCTCCAGTGTACTGAGTGTACCTACAGTGTACTGAGTGTACCTACAGTGTACTGAGTGTACCTCTAGTGTACTGAGTGTACCCCCAGTGTACTGAGTGTACCTACAGTGTACTGAGTGTACCTCCAGTGTGTACTGAGTGTACCTCCAGTGTACTGAGTGTACCTCCAGTGTACTGAGTGTACCTACAGTGTATACTGAGTGTACCTCCAGTGTACTGAGTGTACCTCCAGTGTACTGAGTGTACCTACAGTGTATACTGAGTGTACCTCTAGTGTACTGAGTGTACCTCCAGTGTACTGAGTGTACCTCCAGTGTACTGAGTGTACCTCCAGTGTACTGAGTGTACCTACAGTGTATACTGAGTGTACCTCCAGTGTACTGAGTGTACCTCCAGTGTACTGAGTGTACCTACAGTGTATACTGAGTGTACCTCTAGTGTACTGAGTGTACCTCCAGTGTACTGAGTGTACCTCCAGTGTACTGAGTGTACCTCCAGTGTGTACTGAGTGTACCTCCAGTGTACTGAGTGTACCTCTAGTGTACTGAGTGTACATCTAGTGTACTGAGTGTACCTCCAGTGTACTGAGTGTACCTACAGTATATACTGAGTGTACATCTAGTGTACTGAGTGTACCTCCAGTGTACTGAGTGTACCTCCAGTGTACTGAGTGTACCTACACTGTATACTGAGTGTACCTCCAATGTACTGAGTGTACCTACAGTGTACTGAGTGTACCTCCAGTGTACTGAGTGTACCTCCAGTGTACTGAGTGTACCTCCAGTGTACCTCCAGTGTGTACTGAGTGTACCTCCAGTGTGTACTGAGTGTACCTCCAGTATACTGAGTGTACCTCCAGTGTGTACTGAGTGTACCTCCAGTATACTGAGTGTACCTCCAGTGTGTACTGAGTGTACCTCCAGTGTACTGAATGTACCTCCAGTGTACTGAGTGCACCTCCAGTGTACTGAGTGTACCTCCAGTGTACAGAGTGTACCTCCATTGTACTGAGTGTTCCTCCAGTGAACTGAGTGTACCTCCAGTGTACTGAGTGTATCTCCAGTGTACTGAGTGTACCTCCAGTATATTGAGTGTACCTCCGGTATATTGAGTGTACCTCCAGTATATTGAGTGTACCTCCGGTATATTGAGTGTACCTCCGGTATATTGAGTGTACCTCCGGTATATTGAGTGTACCTCCAGTATATTGAGTGTACCTCCAGTATATTGAGTGTACCTCCAGTATATTGAGTGTACCTCCAGTATATTGAGTGTACCTCCAGTATATTGAGTGTACCTCCGGTATATTGAGTGTACCTCCGGTATATTGAATGTACCTCCAGTATATTGAGTGTACCTCCAGTATATTGAGTGTACCTCCAGTATATTGAGTGTACCTCCAGTATATTGAGTGTACCTCCGGTATATTGAGTGTACCTCCAGTATATTGAGTGTACCTCCAGTATATTGAGTGTACCTCCAGTATATTGAGTGTACCTCCAGTATATTGAGTGTACCTCCAGTATATTGAGTGTACCTCCAGTATATTGAGTGTACCTCCAGTATATTGAGTGTACCTCCGGTATATTGAGTGTACCTCCGGTATATTGAGTGTACCTCCGGTATATTGAGTGTACCTCCAGTATATTGAGTGTACATCCAGTATATTGAGTGTACCTCCGGTATATTGAGTGTACCTCCGGTATATTGAGTGTACCTCCGGTATATTGAGTGTACCTCCAGTATATTGAGTGTACCTCCAGTATATTGAGTGTACCTCCAGTATATTGAGTGTACCTCCAGTATATTGAGTGTACCTCCAGTATATTGAGTGTACCTCCAGTATATTGAGTGTACCTCCAGTATATTGAGTGTACCTCCAGTATATTGAGTGTACCTCCAGTATATTGAGTGTACCTCCAGTATATTGAGTGTACCTCCAGTATATTGAGTGTACCTCCAGTATATTGAGTGTACCTCCAGTATATTGAGTGTACCTCCAGTATATTGAGTGTACCTCCAGTATATTGAGTGTACCTCCAGTATATTGAGTGTACCTCCGGTATATTGAGTGTACCTCCAGTATATTGAGTGTACCTCCAGTATATTGAGTGATATTATAAAATATAAAAATTAAACAAATTGTATTCGATTTGTTTTATTTTCCAGAGAAAATGGAGCAGCCTACCTGACATACATTGAACGAACCTTTGTGACAATTTATCTTTTTTTTCAATATTTTTCTCACTTTTTTATAGAAAATGGAGGAGCTTACCTGACATACATTGAACGAACCTTTGTGACTTTTTTCAATTTTTTGTTTAATTTTTTATTTGTTTTTAGAAAATGGAGCAGCCTACCTGACATACATTGAACGAACCTTTGTGACTTTTCTTTTAGTTTATTTTTTTTAATTTTGCTTTTAATTTGTAAAATATCAATGTTTTGCAACATTAGAGTAGTCACCCTCTTTACGCCCCAGCATCATTAGCGTCTTTAAAAAAAAATTGTTGATTTGCATCGTCGGAGGATCGGAGACTTTGCGAGAACCAGCAGGAAGCTCGTAGATAGAGCCGCTCGTCACCCGAGGTTCCACTGTATGTATATCATTTGACTATGTTGATTGTGAAAGTGTCTCGTCAACAACGTAGACATCTTTACGCTGTCTGCAAGAACTTTCTTGCTCCCCCAGCCATGTACACGCTGTTAGCTGCAGTAATATGAGGAAGACAGCTGTGTACGGACATGTAAAGACAGAAGCTGGCTAGAACAGGTCCTTGCTGGGGGATATCGTATTGGTATAAGGCACGTCACTCCCCCCGGGCTACATACCTTCTGGGTGTGTACTCACCTAATTGTGCTTGCGGGGGTTGAGCTCTGGCTCTTTGGTCCCACCTCTCAACCGTCAATAAACAGGTGTACAGATTCCTGAGCCCAATGGGCTCTATCATATCTACACTTGAAACTGTGTATGGAGTCAGCCTCCAGCACATTACTTCCTAATGCATTCCATTTGTCAACCACTTTGACACTAAAAAAGTTCTTTCTAATATATCTGTGGCTCATTTGGGCACTCAGTTTCCACCTGTGTTTCCTAGTGCGTGTGCCCCTTGTGTTAAATAGCCTGTTTTTATCTACCCTATCAATTCCCTTGAGAATCTTGAATGTGGTGATCATGTCACCCATAACTCTTCTGTCTTCCAGCGAAGTGAGGTTTAATTCATGTAGTCTCTCCTCATAGCTCATACCTCTCAGCTCGGGTACTAGTCTGGTGGCAAACCTTTGAACCTTTTCCAGTTTAGTCTTAAGCTTGACTAGATATGGACTCCATGCTGGGGCTGCATACTCCAGGATTGGCCTGACATATGTGTTATACAAAGTTCTGAATGATCCCTTACACAAGCTTCTGATTGCCGTTCGTATGTTGGCCAGCCTGGCATATGCCGCTGATGTTATCCTCTTGATATGGTCTGCAGGGGACAGGTCTGGCGTGATATCAACCCCCAAGTCTTTTTCTCTCTCTGACTCATGAAGAATTTCATCTCCCAGATGATACCTAGTATCTGGCCTCCTGCTCTCTACGCCTATCTTCATTACATTACATTTGCTGGGTTAAACTCTAACAACCATTTGTTCGACCAATTCTTCAGCTTGTCTAGGTCTTCTTGAAGCCTCAAGCTGTCCTTCTTTGTCTTAATTCTTTGTCTTAATTCTTCTCATAATTTTGGCATCGTCAGCAAACATTGAGAGAAATGAATCTATACCCTCCGGAAGATAATTTACATATATCAGAAACAAGATAGGACCGAGTACAGAGCCCTGTGGGACTCCACTGGTGACTTCACGCCAATCGGAGGTCTCTCCCCTCACCGTAACTCTCTGCTTCCTATTGCTTAGGTACTCTCTTATCCACTGGAGTACCTTACCAGCTACACCTGCCTGTCTCTCCAGCTTATGTACCAGCCTCTTATGCGGTACTGTGTCAAAGGCTTTCCGACAATCCAAGAAAATGCAGTCCGCCCAGCCCTCTCTTTCTTGCTTAATCTTTGTCACCTGATCATAGAATTTTATTAAGATTGTCAGGCAAGATTTACCCTCCGTGAACCCATGTTGGCGATTTGTCACGAAGTCCCTTCTCTCCAGATGTGTTACCAGGTTTTTTCTCACAATCTTCTCCATCACCTTGCATGGTATACAAGTCAAGGACACTGGCCTGTAGTTCAGTGCCTCTTGCCTGTCGCCCTTTTTGTATATTGGGACCACATTCGCCGTCTTCCATATTTCTGGTAGGTCTCCCGTCTCCAGTGACTTACTATACACTATGGAGAGTGGCAAGCAAAGTGCCTCTGCACTTTGCTTTGCACTCGTGTGGCAGGGTACAGGGCACGTCACTTCCCCGGGCCACGTACCATCTGGGCGTGTGGCAGGGTACAGGGCACGTCACTCTCCCGGGCCACGTACCATCTGGGTGTGTGGCAGGGTACGGGGTACGTCACTCCCCCGGGCCACGTACCATCTGGGTGTGTGGCAGGGTACGGGGTACGTCACTCCCCCGGGCCACGTACCATCTGGGTGTGTGGCAGGGTACGGGGCACGTCACTCCCCCGGGCCACGTACCATCTGGGTGTGTGGCAGGGTACGGGGTACGTCACTCCCCCGGGCCACGTACCATCTGGGTGTGTAGCAGGGTACAGGGCACGTCACTCCCCCGGGCCACGTACCATCTGGGTGTGTGGCAGGGTACAGGGCACGTCACTCCCCCGGGCCACGTACCATCTGGGTGTGTGGCAGGGTACAGGGCACGTCACTCCCCCGGGCCACGTACCATCTGGGTGTGTGGCAGGGTACAGGGCACGTCACTCCCCCGGGCCACGTACCATCTGGGTGTGTGACAGGGTGCAGGGTACGTCACTCCCCCGGGCCACGTACCATCAGGGCGTGTGGCAGGGTACAGGGCACGTCACTCCCCCGGGCCACGTACAATCAGGGCGTGTGGCAGGGTACAGGGCACGTCACTCCCCCGGGCCACGTACCATCAGGGCGTGTGGCAGGGTACAGGGCACGTCACTCCCCCGGGCCACGTACCATCAGGGCGTGTGGCAGGGTACAGGGCACGTCACTCCCCCGGGCCACGTACCATCAGGGCGTGTGGCAGGGTACAGGGCACGTCACTCCCCCGGGCCACGTACCATCAGGGCGTGTGGCAGGGTACAGGGCACGTCACTCCCCCGGGCCACGTACCATCAGGGCGTGTGGCAGGGTACAGGGCACGTCACTCCCCCGGGCCACGTACCATCAGGGCGTGTGGCAGGGTACAGGGCACGTCACTCCCCCGGGCCACGTACCATCAGGGCGTGTGGCAGGGTACAGGGCACGTCACTCCCCCGGGCCACGTACCATCAGGGCGTGTGGCAGGGTACAACGCACGTCACTCCCCCGGGCCACGTACCATCAGGGCGTGTGGCAGGGTACAGGGTACGTCACTCCCCCGGGCCACGTACCATCAGGGCGTGTGGCAGGGTACAGGGCACGTCACTCCCCCGGGCCACGTACCATCAGGGCGTGTGGCAGGGTACAGGGCACGTCACTCCCCCGGGCCACGTACCATCAGGGCGTGTGGCAGGGTACAGGGCACGTCACTCCCCCGGGCCACGTACCATCAGGGCGTGTGGCAGGGTACAACGCACGTCACTCCCCCGGGCCACGTACCATCAGGGCGTGTGGCAGGGTACAGGGCACGTCACTCCCCCGGGCCACGTACCATCTCTCCACAAACTGACGGTGTCCGGATAAATGTTTACGCCTATTTTTCTCCCTAGTGTACAGAAAGTTTGTTTTCAATAAGTATAAGTACACTTCAGGTAAGACATGCACACTACATGACTCTCTTGATGTCCACAGCCGGCGTGGTGAGCGTGAAGGACGCTGTAATAGAGGCCTCAGTCATCCACTTCCCAAGTCTCGCCTCAGAGATCTCCTCCCCTACAGCCGATGATGATGATGATAATGATGATGATGATGGTGATGATGATGATGATGATGATGATGTGAGTAATGTTGTGTATGTGTGTGTGTATATTTTGCTTTTTTATGCATATATACTTTAGCCATAGGTGAGTAGCTATTAAAGGAACAGTGTTGAACATCTGTAACACAAGTACACAAGTTTACCAAAAGGCTTAACAATCCCTGGCTTACAAAGGGAATACTTAAATCTATTAATAAAAAACATGACCTTGAGAAAAAGTATAGGTTAGGGATTGTCTCCAAAGAATTCTCAAAGAATTACTCATTATTGCTGTCTAAGATAATTAGACGAGCCAAAACTAAATACTACGAAGATAAATTTACCCAAATAAAGAGCAACATTAAACAAACATGGAGAACAATTTCACAAATATTGGGATCAAAGAAGTCTTTAAATAACAAACCGACTCTCCTGTCTAATAACGATGGTCAGCTTTCAGCCTCTGATTCTGTTATTGAGTTCAATAGGTTCTTCTCTTCCATTGGTTCATCCCTTGCTAATGATATTCCATCTTCCAGTACTGACATTAAGGACTATCTTACAGGGAACTATCCACAGTCTCTGTACCTAAAGCCTATTAATTCCATTGACGTCAATGAGATAATCCTTTCCCTTAAAACCAAGTCTGGTGCCCTTGAGGAGATACCAACTTTAATCTACAAAAAAGCCTCCAGATCTTTAGCCCCTGCTATTGCTTTGCTCTTCAACAAGTCACTTGAACTCCAAACCTTTCCAGATATTCTAAAAAAAGCGAGAGTAACGCCTGTCCACAAATGTGGTGATCTCACAGATGTTAACAACTACAGACCTATATCAATCCTGCCAAACTTGTCAAAAATTTTTGAAAAACTAATCTATAAGCAGCTTTACTCATATCTAGCCAAACTCAATATACTTAGCCCTTGCCAATATGGCTTCAGGCCCAAAAAAAGCACTAACGATGCACTTATTAGTATGCTTAACTCGATTCATACAGCTCTTGATAAAAATGAGTTCCCTGTTGGGTTATTTGTGGACCTGCGTAAAGCTTTCGATACTGTCAACCACCAAAACCTTCTTCTTAAATTACATCATTATGGTGTCAGAGGACACTCCCTACAATACCTCAAATCCTACCTTACTGACAGGCTCCAATGTGTTTCTGTGAATAATACAATTTCTCCCACCCTACCCATCAACATTGGTGTTCCCCAGGGCAGCATACTTGGCCCTCTCCTCTTTCTCATCTACATTAATGACCTTCCAAATGCCTCCCAACACCTCAAACCAATCCTATTTGCTGACGACACAACCTTCATTTACTCCAGTCCTGATCCCCTTGCTCTAAATGCCACAGTAAATACTGAGCTAAATAAAGTCCATCTGTGGCTAACTGCCAACAAACTCACCCTTAACATTGACAAAACTTTCTATATTCTGTTTGGCAATAAATCCTCTAATCAAATAAATCTCAAAATAAACAATACCCAATACCATATCACTGCACATTCTCTCATGTGTACTATACATATACAAAACGCTAAATTGTAATGGCCAATCCTGATCTCAAAAGCTTCATAGAAGGTTGTAACAGAACCCATGAGCACCACACCAGAAATAAATACAGTTTTGATATTCCTAGAGTACGACTTAATCAAACCAGAAATGCTCTACAAATCAAGGGGCCCAGAATGTGGAATGACCTTCCCAACCATGTTAAAGACAGTACCTCTCTCAACCAGTTTAAGATAAAAACTAAACACTACCTAATAAATTCCCTGTAACCTACCTCACTCCTCTATTGTCAACCCATGTCCGTTATTTTCTTTTTTTTAATCAACACTGTTTTTCAACCTATTGTATTTGTGCTGCTTTTTCAGTCATGTTCCCCCTTTTTTTTATCTTTATTTGTATTTGTTCTCAACACTTTTTATTCTTTATGCTCAATTAGTATTAAGTTCTAGATATTAATGTTTTTCTTGCCCGAAACGCATTGCGTAATAGTGGCTTTAGGCATTGTATGTACTAGCTCTATCTATATATCAATCCATTAATGTAACATCACTTGTATGTATATACCTTACCTGAATAAACATCTGAATCTGAATCTGAAAGTACTGAAAAACCACATCCCTCAAGGGTACTATGACGTTATATGAGTATATAGGATAATTTAAATTTGGAATAATTTAAATTTGCTATTAATATGTTAGACAGATTGTATGGTTTGGTTGGAAAGACTGAAAGCCTGTTTGGGATATATATGAAAAATATAATTTTAACTTTTTAAGTGCCTCAGTAACAGTTGTCTGACTTCTTGTATTCAAAAATTATAGACTTCGAATACTCTGACCAAGTATAAAATATGTCATCTTTCCTCATATGTTTGTTTACATTAAAAGAAATTTTGTAGAAAGCTAAACAAGTCAGAGTTGACATCTGAGTGTTTAATTCACACGTTCAGAGATCTGTTTCTTTCATTGAGACTGACTATAGGAGCTTATCTTCGGAGCACCCCCAGTAATGATCACTTTGTAGCTGCCCCAGCCATGAACACTGTGTAGCTGCCCCAGCCATGAACACTGTGTAGCTGCCCCAGCCATGGACACTTTGTAGCTGCCCCAGCCATGAACACTGTGTAGCTCCCCCAGCCATGAACACTGTGTAGCTGCCCCAGCCATGTACACTTGTAGCTGCCCCAGCCATGTACACTTGTAGCTGCCCCAGCCATGTACACTTGTAGCTGCCCCAGCCATGAACACTGTGTAGCTCCCCCAGCCATGGACACTTTGTAGCTGCCCCAGCCATGAACACTTTGTAGCTGCCCCAGCCATGGACACTTTGTAGCTCCCCCAGCCATGAACACTGTGTAGCTCCCCCAGCCATGAACACTTTGTAGCTGCCCCAGCCATGAACACTTTGTAGCTGCCCCAGCCATGGACACTTTGTAGCTCCCCCAGCCATGAACACTGTGTAGCTCCCCCAGCCATGGACACTTTGTAGCTGCCCCAGCCATGGACACTTTGTAGCTGCCCCAGCCATGGACACTTTGTAGCTCCCCCAGCCATGAACACTTTGTAGCTGCCCCAGCCATGAACACTTTGTAGCTGCCCCAGCCATGAACACTTTGTAGCTGCCCCAGCCATGGACACTTTGTAGCTCCCCCAGCCATGAACACTGTGTAGCTCCCCCAGCCATGGACACTTTGTAGCTGCCCCAGCCATGAACACTTTGTAGCTGCCCCAGCCATGGACACTTTGTAGCTGCCCCAGCCATGGACACTTTGTAGCTGCCCCAGCCATGAACACTGTGTAGCTCCCCCAGCCATGGACACTTTGTAGCTGCCCCAGCCATGAACACTTTGTAGCTGCCCCAGCTGTGAACACTTTGTAGCTGCCCCAGCCATGAACACTTTGTAGCTGCCCCAGCTATGAACACTTTGTAGCTGCCCCAGCCATGGACACTTGTAGCTGCCCCAGCCATGAACACTTGTAGCTGCCCCAGCCATGAACACTTGTAGCTGCCCCAGCCATGTACACTTGTAGCTGCCCCAGCCATGAACACTTTGTAGCTGCCCCAGCCATGTACACTTGTAGCTGCCCCAGCCATGAACACTTTGTAGCTGCCCCAGCCATGTACACTTTGTAGCTGCCCCAGCCATGTACACTTGTAGCTGCCCCAGCCATGAACACTTTGTAGCTGCCCCAGCCATGTACACTTTGTAGCTGCCCCAGCCATGTACACTTTGTAGCTGCCCCAGCCATGAACACTTGTAGCTGCCCCAGCCATGTACACTTGTAGCTGCCCCAGCCATGTACACTTTGTAGCTGCCCCAGCCATGAACACTTGTAGCTGCCCCAGCCATGTACACTTGTAGCTGCCCCAGCCATGAACACTTGTAGCTGCCCCAGCCATGTACACTTGTAGCTGCCCCAGCCATGTACACTTGTAGCTGCCCCAGCCATGAACACTTGTAGCTGCCCCAGCCATGTACACTTGTAGCTGCCCCAGCCATGTACACTTGTAGCTGCCCCAGCCATGTACACTTGTAGCTGCCCCAGCCATGAACACTTGTAGCTGCCCCAGCCATGTACACTTGCTGCTGCCCCAGCCATGTACACTTGTAGCTGCCCCAGCCATGAACACTTGTAGCTGCCCCAGCCATGAACACTTGTAGCTGCCCCAGCCATGTACACTTGTAGCTGCCCCAGCCATGGACACTTGTAGCTGCCCCAGCCATGGACACTTGTAGCTGCTCCAGCCATGTACACTTGTAGCTGCCCCAGCCATGTACACTTGTAGCTGCCCCAGCCATGGACACTTTGTAGCTGCCCCAGCCATGTACACTTGTAGCTGCCCCAGCCATGTACACTTGTAGCTGCCCCAGCCATGTACACTTGTAGCTGCCCCAGCCATGTACACTTGTAGCTGCCCCAGCCATGTACACTTGTAGCTGCCCCAGCCATGGACACTTGTAGCTGCCCCAGCCATGGACACTTGTAGCTGCCCCAGCCATGGACACTTGTAGCTGCCCCAGCCATGGACACTTGTAGCTGCCCCAGCCATGGACACTTGTAGCTGCCCCAGCCATGGACACTTGTAGCTGCCCCAGCCATGGACACTTGTAGCTGCCCCAGCCATGTTGGGTGAAGGTGACATCGTTGTGTGCCGGCAGGTGGAGGAGGGAGCCCAAGAACTGGAGCCTGACGCCTCTACACAAGCTCGGGACATTCTCCAGCTCATTCAAGTGGCGTCTCTCCGAAATTTTAAAAAATATCAAAGTGATAATTTGTTGCTCAATTACATAAATATAGCTGCGGGCAATGTGTACGAACGGGTGAGTTGGTTTATATATTTTGTGTACAATTATTTGCTGGGTATTAATTGCTATACACCAGAGAAGATATGTAGTGACCCCTGTGTGAGGCCGCTATTAAAGTTTACCCATTCAGACATGTTTGACATAAATGGAAGCTTGCGAAATCAAATGTTTTGTATAATCTTTAAAAGTTATAATATTCTTGTAAATCTTCATAAAATCACAGATTTTTTTGGAATATTGTAAATAATAATAATACAATTTTTCTAATTTGTAAATAATTTGTGAGTATTGTGCGTACATAAGTGAGTGAGTGTTGTGGGAGCAGGTTGTGGCGGGTTGGCACCGCTGGAGGGAGGAGATGCTTCACAACCTCGCCCTCCTCGAGCTGACCTTCCTGGCGCTGGTCGACGCTGGCAGGAGACTCCAGGGTGACGCCCACACCTTTAAGGAGGAGTAAGTTTTCCCATCTTGCATATTATAGCAATGACGATTATAAGCTAGTGCAGAAGGCCTTTTGGCCCCATGCGAGGCAATTCTTACTAACACCCAACCAAAATCCCTCACATATTTGTCCAACCTTCGCTTGAAACCCTCCAGCGGCCTCACATGTATTCCTATATAGTCATAATTGGCTTAGTGTGTTCTCCTCATAATTACCTCACCGTAATTATGGGAGAGCGCCAGAGGGCGGGGAAAGTAGAACACAACACATGGGCGTAAGACATGTCAGAGAAAGAGGGAAGACGGCGAACCTGGCGTCTTGCCTCAAGAAAAAGACAAATGATCTCGATGTTTCCAATTGAGAATGGCTTCCTCCAATTAGTAGTGCACACGTGCACGGGAGAAGGCAGGGTGGGTGTCATTCAACTCGTGCAGAGAGTTTGGGAAGAAGGGCACTGTCTTAAAATGACCCGAGGCTCCACACAAGGGGCATAGACTCCTACTTGTGCACCTGAAGGAACCATGACCAAATCTCCAGCACCTGCTGCAGAGACGAGGAGAGGGGATGTGCTCCTGAACGGAGCATCTGGCACCAGCAAGCATTACGGAAGATGGAAGAGACCTAATAACAAATGTGATTTTCAGTACGTGAAGATACTGACGACGACCACCACCACCACGAGTGAATGTATCTATCTGGAGGATAGAATGGCTTTGGGCCTCAAGGATATATTTAATATCTTCGTGGCAGTTTGTCAGTTTCCTATCACCAGTCACAACATGGTGCGGGAGTAACTGTGTCAGTGCTGGCCATAACTGGGTATTTTAGCAGATCCGAACAGGGGTCTCCCCACAGCATGACAACGAAGCCAAGCGGTCGGCCGCTCTCTGAGAAGGTGCTGCAACAACACGTGTACCAGTACGGGCGCAGTTAAAGGTGACACATGTATCCAACCAATCAACAAGGTACTTATGAAGGAATAAATCATCAGGATAAGTAGGGGCATCAGGACTAAGATCAAAATACTTAGTCCACATAACATGACCAAACAAAGCTTGAAATATATTAGATCGAGAATGAATCGTGCGAGTACGGAGGTGACGATGCCGAGCACCCATGGTAAGAGAGGTAGGGGGGGGGGGGTAAAAGGCGCTGTTGTGACAACGAGAGACGGAGCCACGCCAGGTGATGAGGTGGTCATTACTGGTCATCACTGGTCATCACTGGGGGCTTGAGGCTCAACCCCACCACAGAGGTGGGAGGGGAACAGAGAGAAGTAGTCGGGAGAGTCAGAGAAGTAACTAGGTCTGGGCCCAATGTAACGGGGGCTACTGAGCCCGGCCTTCCAGCACAGTCCGACTCCGGAGCCTGGTCGCCTACCCCACAGTCTGAAAAGTTAAATGAGGGTCAGATATCAGCATAGAAATCAACAGGAACAGAATTTCGTCCAGGAATAAGCCCCCATACCCACCATAGAGCCACAATTAGACGATAGGACACCTGACAAGACGCCTCCTACCCCCCCCCCCCCGGGAGCATCGTAGATGCACCCTGCAATCACCACCTTAAGGATCGTCAGTCCGTAGAGATCGGGTTCAGCAGAGAAGGCAAAGTTTAACAACAATAGCGTCCCCTCGCTCGACAACGTCAGGTACCACAGTTCCATGAGTGAGAGAGTGTGCCTCCCCAAACACCAGACGTCAAAACACAAGAATACATCGGAAAGACTAATAAAAAAATTACAAAAAGTCGGCAGGAAGGAACAATCAGAAAGAAGAAGAGGTGGGAAGGATAAAAATGAAACATGAGGAAGAGGAAAAGGCATCCAGCAAGATTAGTGAAGTCGGCAGCAGGAGCATAAGGCTTCAATAGGCCAGAAGACCGTCCCATGGAGCATCACACCCCGGCAGCCGCCCACCAAGCCCCACCTCACCACGACAACGGCCTGGAAAGGAAAGGTGCTGCAAGGCCAAGTGACACTGGTACTGGGGTGACACTGGTACTGGGGTGACACTGGTACTGGGGTGACACTGGTACTGGGGTGACACTGGTACTAGAGTGACACTGGTACTGGGGGGTGACACTTGTACTAGGGTGACACTGGTACTAGAGTGACACTGGTACTAGAGTGACACTGGTACTGGGGGGTGACACTTGTACTAGGGTGACACTGGTACTGGGGTGAATACTGGTACTTGGTTAGAGGAGCGTCCTGGATGATGGTAGAAGAGCTGTTAAGGGGAGGAGGAAGAAGAGCTCCTGGATGGTGGTAGAAGAGCTGGTAAGGGGAGGAGGAAGGAGAGCTCCTGGATGGTGGTAGAAGAGCTGGTAAGGGGAGGAGGAAGGAGAGCTCCCAGATGGTGGTAGAAGAGCTGGTAAGGGGAGGAGGAAGAAGAGCTCCTGGAGGGTGGTAGAAGAGCTGGTAAGGGGAGGAGGAAGAAGAGCTCCCAGATGGTGGTAGAAGAGCTAGTAAGGGGAGGAGGAAGGAGAGCTCCTGGATGGTGGTAGAAGAGCTGGTAAGGGGAGGAGGAAGAAGAGCTCCTGGATGGTGGTAGAAGAGCTGGTAAGGGGAGGAGGAAGAAGAGCTCCCAGATGGTGGTAGAAGAGCTGGTAAGGGGAGGAGGAAGAAGAGCTCCTGGATGGTGGTAGAAGAGCTGGTAAGGGAAGGAGGAGGGAGAGCTCCTGGATGGTGGTAGAAGAGCTGGTAAGGGGAGGAGGAGGGAGAGCTCCTGGATGGTGGTAGAAGAGCTGGTAAGGGGAGGAGGAAGAAGAGCTCCTGGATGGTGGTAGAAGAGCTGGTAAGGGGAGGAGGAGGGAGAGCTCCTGGATGGTGGTAGAAGAGCTGGTAAGGGGAGGAGGAGGGAGAGCTCCTGGATGGTGGTAGAAGAACTGGTAAGGGGAGGAGGAAGGAGAGCTCCTGGATGGTGGTAGAAGAACTGGTAAGGGGAGGAGGAGGGAGAGCTCCTGGGTGAGACCCACAAGGACTCATGCTGGACTGGACTGCTTAGTGCCGCTGGGAAAATAAGATGTTTAACAAATAATTAGTTTCTAGGTACACGGAGTCATGTTTTTAGTTCCTCCATTACACAAGACGCTCATTATAAAAAGTTAAATTATTTAGTAATTTTGACTGAAAAATTCAACATTACATTTTGTATATGTAGGTCCTCATTAGAATGATCGTTATCTGCCTGGATGAAGTTTAATATTGTTCTCTCCTTTTGCAGACCATTTATTTTTGGTCCTAAAGATGGCAGAATTATCATCAACCAACGCTTACCTGTGTCTTGGAGAAGCTTCCTGGAGCCTCCTCAGTGGTACACACTTACTGATCTCTTCCAGGAGGTGAGTACTGCAAGATCAATTACTTTTTTGATGCTCACTTGTGATGTACTCTTTACCATTTTTTTTTTTGTTTCCCTTCAAGACGATAGTTGAGGCTCACCCTGATGTTCACATCTTGGTCATCATAAAGAATGTTTACATAGGGACGTGTCCCGAGGCCAGGAAGACCCCATGCCAGGGACACGTGAGGGGGGGAGAGTAGTCTTATTGCTAAACCTCTCCCACCAGCATGCTTTTTGCTCACTAGATATATACTGATATATTTTGAAAGATAATCGCTTGTTTAACCTTATGGCGCTGATATATATAAGAGACAAGGTCTATTACACATAAGATATAACTTCAAATACGACCTTAATGTATTATGCGTCTTTGATACTAAGTTTCACTCATTAGATCGTTTTGCGCACATATTGGTATAATGAGCATGATGGTTGTGTGTGCACTTTAAACAACATAAGTGGTTTGGTGTTATTTGCCTTTCTTACTAAGTGTACATGTATTCCTTGGTGTGACCAATGGGAAGAGGATTATTACATCATATGTCAGTAAGATTGACTGTGATTGGGCCATTGCTTGGTTGACGTCATGGAGTGACGGTGCTCGACCTTTGTATTCTGCAAACACTTAAACAGTTCCAGTCACCTGGGTTGTATAGGTCTCGAACCGTCGACCCCACGGTTCCTTTTTTACTTTCCTTTTTAAGTTAAATCAACTTTATTTAAATCTTACTTCTTTACTATCTTACTTGAATCAACTTAATTATTAGTACCAAAATAGAGTAACTGTGACATTTCTATCACTTCTTGGCATCTGGACAAGAGAACCAGGGGCCAGATTCACGAAGCAGTTACGCTAGTACTTACGAACGTGTATATCTTTCCTCAATCTTTGACGGCTTTGTTTACAATTATTAAACAGTTAATAAGCTTCGAAACACCAGGAGGCTATTTATAACAATAGCAACAGCTAATTGAGAAGTTTTCATCCTTGTTTACTGTTTAATAAATGTAAACAAAGCCGTCAAAGATTGACGAAAGAGGTACTCGTTCGTAAGTACTTGTTTAACTGTTTCATGAATCTGGCCCCTGGGCGTCAGGGAAGGAGGGGAGTCAGCCATTGTTAAATTTATCAACTAAGTCGCTGAAGCAAACAGCTCCTATAAATTCTCTTGGACAATGGAGTTACAGGACTAATAATGCTCCCATTATCAACTCCAACTTCGTCTACAATATGGGTAGTGTCCCTTCCAATTCCTATATTATCTAGCTTATTAGAGGCCTTTAATATTTAGATTTAGGATATTTTCCGGTTAGGACACGAGACAGCGACATAACCCAGGTAAATATTCTATGGTTCTAATCTCATAATCAATTTACTACGTTTCCTCTGATATAGCTGTTATATATATATAGGACTAGCTGTACCCCCCACGCGTTGCTGTGGCTCAGTCTGGATAAATGGAAAAGAGAGAAAAGAGAAAGTGCACGTTTCTAGTATGTTTAATTTCACAATGCTTGTGGGTATACAATACTTTTTGTTGTTCTATTGTCTGTAGAGATATAGAGATTGTCTGGTTTGCCGACTCTAGAACACTCAACATATAATTGTCCACGTGAGAAGCAATCCGTGTCTAGATATAAAGCGCACAAGTCTAAAGATCGGCCCTGAGCTTTGTTGATGGTTATCTTGAGGTTATCTTGAGGTGATTTTGTGGCTTAGCGTCCCCGCGGCCCGCTCCACGACCAGGTCTCCGTTTTGTTATCCTCCCCAGGAAGCAGCACGTAGCAGCTGTCTAACTCCCAGATATATATTTACTGTTAGGTAACAGGGGTAAAAGAAACAATTTTGCCCATTTTTCTCCGCTTCCACCGGGGATCGAACCCAGAACATCAGAACTACAAATCCAAAGCGCTGTCCACTCAGCTGTCAGGCGCCCTGCAATGGTGATTGCAAATGCCAATTGAATTGGAAAATTCGATTGGCAAATTAGTCTTTGAGAATGTACGGAGTGATCTTGCGAAACGCTTACCAAGGCGTCAGACCAAAATAAAAAGTGTGAAAATGAACTTTGGAAAATTAATTTTTCAACTTCCCCGACAGTGACGAAAAACCTAAGAAATATTGAGAAGACTTGTGGTAGAATCATAAGAAATCTTAATTTTGGTTGTCAAAACTTTCTTACGAGAGGAGAAATTTAAACATTATTCGAGAAAAAATGAAAAAATGTAAATTATAAACTAATTACTAATTTTAAATAAAATCAGATTATTGATAAATATTTTGTTTCGCAAGGAATCTGTTATTGACGAAGTGCAGAGGTTACTTGCTGAAGGCGTGGACGAGGCAGAGGGCGCGTGGGAGGTGCTGGGCCAGCCCGGGGCGCTCTCTCCCCCCTTCGCCGCCACGGCCACCATCATGGGTGGGTGCCACTACTTCATCCTCTTCACTAATATCTTCTTCTTTCATTGCTAAGGGCACTAAATATTAGCATAAACTTAGGGGGTTGAATAATGTATATATGACAAGAACTTGATGGTTCTCTGATGGCTTACAGTTGTTCCTCTTCTCAGTTGAAATATTTCTTAAACTCATAGAATGAACTAACAGTGTTATGCCAGAAATAGTGTGTACATTGGCAAATATTACATGATTTTGAACGCAATTCAATTGTTTGAATATATAGCTTTTTTATGTTAAATGTTTTCAATATATTTTGGAAACTGTTAAGAAATATGTGAATAATTATTCCGTATTTGCAGGTCAACACATAACCACCTTTGACCTGCACCACTACCAGTTCCTTGGTCCGTGCTCCTATCTACTCACCAGAGATTTTATTGGTGGTGACTTTACTGTGATCGGTGTGTACGAGTCTGAGGGTGGGAGGGTGAGGCTGGGGTCGGTGGTGGTGCACACTCACTCTGCTACAGTTACCCTCCACCTCAATGGTACCGTTGACGCTTCTCAAGCTGCACCTCAGGTATCTATCACCTTCTTCATTCAAAGGTTTTATTGGAGAAAAATTGAACAGAATAAATTATTTAGGAGAATGGATAAATGTATTTCTTTTATCTTTTTATTGAGGAAACTGTATAATGTTTTATTAGATATACTGACTGAATGTAGGCGCCTTGAGAGCCAGCACCGAGACTAGAGGTTGTAAGGGAGTGGGTGTCCACACCTGTCTAATCTAACATGGTGAGCTCAGACAGTGTGTCAATTCTTAAGTGCAAACCACCGAGTGATTTACGTCTCTGGCAGTGACGAAATGGCTTACATGTTTCGTCACCCGCTTATGGCCAACGAACTCGGTGACGTTACAGCCTATCACCAACGTTAAGCTAGGAAGCCGATTGTGGGGTTTATTTTTCTGACTCCCTAAAATAAAGCATATGTCTTAATGTTTATACACAATTATGTGTAGTGTATTCCACAATTCAAAGGACCACAGATATTAAACAGCTTCAGTTAAGCAGCTCGTACATCCAAGGTGTGTTGTTGTTATGAATTAAGGGGCGACGACGATCATGGGATTGGATGCGCGCCGGCTTACCCGTAAAGAGTTAATCGAAAAAACCGAATGGCAAAACCATTGATGCATATCACTAGACACTAAGACGCCTTGCTTCAAAAAAACGCATGGACAGGTAGATGATTGGGGAGTCCCAGGAGTCCCTCAAGAGGACAAGCATCAGCCCCGCCCCACACAGAGAACTCATGGTACCAAAAGCAAAAACTCAGCCCCCAATTAAACCGCAAAAGTCATCCGGTGGTCTCCAGCAGAGCAGAGGCCAGCTGCCCACTGCTGCTGAGGGCACACTAGGAGCTCACCAAAATCCACCAACCCCTGGCATCTTTCGGCCAAGCCGGCGCCGGACACCGTCACCCTGCCAGGAAAACCAGCCAGAAAACGTTCAAAATCTATCTATCAACTGTCCTGTGACCCAAGGCGATATGTGCGCCAGGCGTCGTACAAACGGACCGTTAAATAGGGATGCCAAACGGCAGTATCAAACCCAAAATCGAAAAAACAGAACCTGATCCGGCGGCTCCCAGGCGCAGGAGGTGTCCAGACGTCCGCTCGTCATCAAGGTTGAACCAGGAGTCATCCAAGATGTTGTTGTTGTTGTTGAGTTAGGGGCGACGACGATCGTGGGATCATATGCGCCCCGGCGTACCCGTGAAGGGTGAATCGCAAAGCCAGGAAAGGTGAAACGCCAAGCCAAAACGCAAAACGAGTGACGCCAAGCACTAGAAACTAATATGCCACACGGCAAAGAAACGCACAAAGGGTGAGGCAGAAGCACATAGTATAACAGGGCAAACAAACAGCCAGAGGGGCACACAGCATGTCATAGAGCAAATACACAGAAAATCAGAGCACATACTTGCCCAGGAACCTGGCCCGCAGGAACCGTACATTTAACACCTCCCAGAACACCCATTGCAAAGGGTCCCGTCCATCCACCGAGGATGCCATAACATCCGGAACCAGAGCAACAAACACCTGCAAACAGGGGACCCAGATGGTAGTACTCAAGAGGGAAGAAGTCACTACTCGCCCCCACAGGAAGGGAACTTGCCCACTATGAAAGTACTCTGGTCCGTCAGACAGCAGTAATTCGGCAATCTCCAACCAGTGACCCGGCGGCATCACAGACGCTGGCAACACATCCCCTAGGGCCCCAACGTGCACCCGCACCACAGGGGTACCCGCGACCCCAGGCACACCACCAGACGACAGCAGGGAACCCGGACGGCGCGCATCCTTCCGTAACGTCACCACCAGGCCACGCCCAGCACCAGAGTCCACACCATCCCTGGCAGCGGAAGCCACCACCCCCCACTGCGGAGAGTCCCCCGGCAGAGAAAGAACTGAAGGCACGTCCGAGACACTGGCACCAGCCCCAGCAGGCACATGGACCTCCGCCACCACGAACTGCGGAGACATCGATGTATCCGTATCCACACTGTCAATACCCGAAGACCCACAGTCACTGAAGTCACCAACGTCGGCCCAGGCAGAAGACAAACGCCGGGAACGTTTGGACACCGGCCGGATATCGTCAGAGCCGGTAAGTGACCCAGAAACACGGGTACCACGAGCCAGATGAACCGACGTCCGACACAGAACGGCAACAGCCTCTACCACAGGGAAAACCGGGCCACACACAGCAGGAAGCCCCACAGCCACCCCAGCACCCAGCACATCCGGGACCTGAGTCACGGACACAGGGCCAGGCGCAGCATCAGAAGACGAGGGAGAAGACAGCGACGTCACACAGAGAGCTCCAGGAAGGCCCACAGGAGCAGCTGGGACAGCGACAGGATCAGGCAGACCAACCGACGGTACCGCAATACCCGGAGGAGGGTCGGCAACAACCGGAGGAATGACAGGCGTCGCCGGGGGAGCTGCAGCAGCAAACGGGATGCGCACCTCCTCATCATCACCGGAGACTGCCTCCAGTGGGAGCAGCGGGAAATCCTCTTCACGGAACAAGTTGACAGGAGCAGCTGGGGCCTCAGAGCACCTGGCAGCCTGATGCCCCAACAGGCCACACTGGAAACAGGTACGAGGCTGCCAGGCATGATACACCCGGACGTAGTATTCCATAAGCCGGACAGAAGAAGGTATATCCGACCGCAGGCGCATTACCAACGTGCGAATGTTCGTTCGCCTCCCAGCATACCGCCCCGAGGAGAGCGTGTTCACCCGCACGCTGACAACAGTACCAAACCTCTCGAAGTAACACCGGAGGAGGTCTTCAGGGAAATCCAGGGGCGCACCATGGACACTGACATAAGTCAGGGCACCACTGCGGTCCGAAATCGCCACAGAGCCGGCATCATCTGGCAAGGGCAACGTACGCCCTCCCCCCCCCCCCCCCATACATAGCATGGTGTATGTGATTTCATACACCATGCTACTCAGACATGGTATAATATAATTTTGGTGGAAATTTTCCACACCGATAAAAATTTCTATGCCTGTCTGGTATATTGTGATTAAACAGCTTATCATCTCCCAGGCGACAACCAGGAGCATAAGATCAAGCATCGTTCTGTAACCCAAGCACTGCACATTTTTTATTTTTTTTTTATAAAAGAAAACTACAAAGTACAAACAGAAAAATCACATACAAGAAAACATGAGTACATACATGATACACAATACAGGAACACAACAGGCAAAGAACCCAAACACAAGAATAATCAAAAGTGAAATATTCATGATACAAAGCATATAACAAACCCCAACACGGGCACATAAGACAAGCTAAAAGCAGTACAGGACACAAGGCATTAATAACAGAAAACAGAACCACACAGGGAACCATAAGTACAAAAAACAAACAAAAGGCACAAAAAACATGCAAACGACCAAAAGGCCGTAAGAACACAAGTATAAAATATATACCACCACCACACTAAACACACCACAACAGCAGCACAATAGCACAACCAGCCACGCATACTACACACAAAGCTGGAAGTATAAGACCACACCCAACCACACAGAACATTTACAGAAAGACACAAGCACACGCAAACCCCACACACAAGCAACCCTTAAGCAGAAAAAAAAAATGGAACACGCAGGAATCAGAAAACAAAACCCCCTCGACCCAGACACACACATGCAACCCCATCCCACACCCACGCACCCAGGCACAAGCAGCCCCACAACACACAACAGTCAACAAGGAGGATATTTCTCAGGAAACTTCCACGATGAATACTTTCACTTATAAGCCTCCCATATTAAATACTCCAGTTCAGTAGGGAAACGGCCCTCACGACACCACGAGTACTCCATATACTCGGGGATCATAACATCCGGCAGAAGCAGTCGCGCCCAACCACAGTACACCAAAGATGAAGAACCCGACTTGGGAGGTAGGAACACTGCCGCCGAGGAAGCAGGAGACACCGGAATAGTGGGCTGAGGCTGCAACACAGCCCCCGACAAAGCTGGAGTCACAGAAGAAATGCTCGGAGACGTATGGGGCGGCAGAACCGCCGCTGACGAAACAGGAGATGGGGGAGGGGGCACGGAACCCTCAGAGCGTGCAGCTTTCTTCAATACCATCACCAGGTCCACCAGGTCGCCACGTCCACTCTCAACGCCGCAAGAAGGAACCACCCCCCACGGGGAACCGGAGCCATCCAACGCGGGCGACGCACCCGAAGCAAGAGGTACCGGCCCCACACCGGCCTCCAAAGCAGGAGCCACACCAGGGCTCACACCATCTGCCGGACCCACACCAGCACCAGACGCACCATCCTCACACTCCACAGAGGAACAGCTCTCAGAAGAAACATCGACACTCGCCGCATCCTCACATTCCTCTGCCCACGAACGAGGAGGCAAAGCACCCACATCCCTACGTGAACGCTTGTGGACAGGCCGTTGATCATCGGAGCTGTCACCCCCTGCAGGAGGCACCCGAGAAGAGCCAGCGGTAGATTACCCCCCAACCGGGTTAGCACGACCCCACAGAATGTCAGCCTCAACAACACAGGGGACGAGACCCCCACCCACAGAGGAGACAGGAGAAGGAACAGGCGTGGCCGCAGGAGGGGAAGGGACCAACACAAGTGAAGGAGCCTGCAGAGACGTCGAAGGCAACAGAGGTGCAGTCGGAAACAGGTGCAGGAGCCGGTGGAAGCGACGAGACAGACTGTGGGGGCTGAGCCACACGCACCACCACCTTGTCGTGTACACCACCGACCACACACGCTGGGCCAACACCCACCACCAGGTCAGCAGGCTGCAGGGGAACCTCCCCACCCACTCCATCACGAGGCGGCAGGTCCTGCTCCACCAACGGGGGAAAATCCTCGTCCCGGAACAAATTAATAGGTGCAGCTGCGACCCCAGTGCAATCAGCTGCCAGATGCCCCTCAATGCCACAACGAAAACATTGTCGAGGCTGTCCCGCATAGAACGCCTGCATGGTGTAGCCCATCAAGGTCACC